CTCAATTTTGTTGTGTTCGAACATCTTCAAAACATCAGTTTTTTTCTTTAAAATCGTTGACAGTGTACTGGGTTTAACATCAAATTTTCGACAGACATCGCCGTGACGAATGCCCGACTCAATCGCTTTGATCATTCTGACTTTACAGTCCAACGACAAGGCACGCCGTTTGACACGAGTTGACATTTTGAAGTCAGGACGGAAACTGGCATCTCACTCGTAGTCGCCGTAATTTATCTAAAATTTACAGCGTCCATGCTTCACACTTTTTTATTGTGAATCTTAAAATTAAAAACTCGAGCAGCAAGGGCGTCGAAAGTGACTAGACACTGGAAGTCACGTACACAAAAGATTTTCACGCCCAGTGAATGGCTACATTGTTTTTATTTTACGCTGCACAGCTCAAGCCCACTGCTAACAGCGAAGCGTAACACCGTGTATTTGGCGGTTCGTTTTAGGATTCCGCAGCTGTTTGAGTGAATGAAATGTTCGCTATAGGTGTTACAGACCATTGTCTTTCAGAGAAAATCCTTTCGTACTAAGCGGGTTTTCGTAATAAACGAGTTCGTTCTAAGCGTTGTCAATTACCATAGGGATAATGGATTTTCAAAAGGGACTTCGGTGTTCGTTCGTTGTAACCAGTATTTCGTTGTAACCGAGTTCGTACTGACGAGTTTTGACTGTAGTGTAAAGTTTAACATCACTTTCATTTCAAGCTAGTTCATTTATATATTCAAATTGATGTTATTTTTACCATTAACATCAATAACAATAACATTTCTAGGAATTACAATTTTGCAAGTGACAGCAAGAAGTGCTCATTGTTTATACCTACAGAAATGTTTTGCCAAACTAATGACTATTTAATTAGTATCTGATTTAAAGTCTCACCTGATCCAACTGTTGCTGTATCATGGCTTGGTCATCAAGTGGATCATCAACGCCGTCGCGCAACACCACAGTCACTGACTCCAATCTTGATGTAATATATGCTTTTGTGACTTCTGGTGTATATGTTTCAAGTAAATGTGGTTCTGATGCTTTGACATACGGAACTGACGCTACCATACGCTGCCACAGTGTAAGAAGATAATGTACACTGTTGGGTGCAAAACGCCACATTTGCTGTAAAAATAAAGATGCATCTGTTAAGGTCATGTGATACGAATATTTGGAAGTGGTACACATAATGTCAGACAAAGCACTTCAAATCACTACTGCCTACACAAAGCAGCCACATTTTTTTTAAACCGCTAAAATATTCTCCAGTTTAGACTTTATTCATTTGACTACACTCCTCAGATTTGAATTTGTAGATTCATATTCATACTCAGTATCTGATTCAGTGGAGTACCCTATCATATTTCAATTTGTAGATTCATATTTAAATTCAGGATCTGATTCAGTGGAGTACCCTATCATATTTAAATTTGTAGATTCATATTCACATTCAGTATCTGATTCAGTGGAGTACCCTATCAAATTTAAATTTGTAGATTCATATTCATAAACAGTATTTGATTCAGTGGAGTACCCTATCAAATTTAAATTTGTAGATTCATATTCATACTCAGTATCTGATTCAGTGGAGTACCCTATCATATTTAAATTTGTAGATTCATATTCAGTGGAGTACCCAATCATATTTAAATTTGTAGATTCATATTCACATTCAGTATCTGATTCAGTGGAGTACCCTATCACATTTAAATTTGTAGATTCATATTCATACTCAGTATCTGATTCAGTGGAGTACCCTATCAAATTTAAATTTGCAGATTCCTATTTAAACTCAGTATCTGATTCAGTGGAGTACCTTATCAAATTTAAATTTGTAGATTCATATTCAAATTCAGGATCTGATTCAGTGGTGTACTCAATCAAATTTAAATTAGTAGATTCATATTCACATTCAGTATCTGATTCAGTGAAGTACCCTATCAAATTTAAATTTGTAGATTCCTATTCATACTCAGTATCTGATTCAGTGGAGAGTACCTTATCAAATTTAAATTTGTAGATTCATATTCATACTCAGTATCTGATTCAGTGGAGTACCTTATCAAATTTAATTTTGTAGATTCATATTCAAATTCAGGATCTGATTCAGTGGTGTACCCTATCAAATTTAAATTTGTAGATTCCTATTCATACTCAGTATCTGATTCAGTGGAGTACCTTATCAAATTTAAATTTGTAGATTCATATTCAAATTCAGGATCTGATTCAGTGGTGTACCCTATCAAATTTAAATTAGTAGATTCATAATCACATTCAGTATCTGATTCAGTGAAGTACCCTATCAAATTTAAATTAGTAGATTCATATTCACATTCAGTATCTGATTCAGTGAAGTACCCTATCAAATTTAAATTTGTAGATTCCTATTCATACTCAGTATCTGATTCAGTGGAGTACCCTATCAAATTTAAATTTGTAGATTCATATTCACATTCAGGATCTGATTCAGTGGAGTACCAAATCTCTCTCAAATTTAAATTTGTAGATTCCTATTCATACTCAGTATCTGATTCAGTGGAGTACTGTAAAAGGGGTAATTATTCACTGGGTTTTAATTTAGCTTATTTCGCTGACTGGAAAATGCGCTAAATTAAAACCCAGTGAATATGTAAAATTTAGCATAGAACACATTATCTAAATGACGAAACCGTGAATTTAAAACCCACTGAATATGCCTGAAATGGTAAATCAGTGAAATTTAAACCCAGTGAAAACTAGTCATTTTACAGTACCCTATCAAATTTAAATTTGTGGATTCATATTCACATTCAGGATCTGATTCAGTGGAGTACCCTATCACATTTAAATTTGTAGATTCATATTCATACTCAGTATCTGATTCAGTGGAGTACCCTATCAAATTTAAATTTGTAGATTCCTATTCATACTCAGTATCTGATTCAGCGGAGTACCCTATCAAATTTAAATTTGTAGATTCATATTCAAATTCAGGATCTGATTCAGTGGAGTACCCTATCAAATTTAAATTTGTAGATTCATATTCATATTCAGTATCTGATTTAGACAACCAAAATATTTTATCAATGAGAAATTGAATTGTTGGCTTCCACTTTCTGCACAATTTAGAGTAAATAATTTACAAAATCTAGCTAATATGTGTGAATGCACAAGGAAGCCAGTTTACCACTGTAATTTCATCTTCTATCACAAATAGTTCTGATCAAATGCTAGCAATCACAATTGAAAATTGATTTAACAATCATTAGATCGACTTACGTGAACCTGCAAACTACTGACAGTGAATTTTGCAATGAGCGAGATGACCTCTGGATAGTTGTCAACCTTTACGAGTTCTCCAAGTTGATAGTTGGATTTCAACCTCGCAAGAAGACGACAAAATTCATGATAATTATTGGCATCTGTCAAACCCTGAAAAAAAAAATTATAATTGAAGAAACAAGTTTTGATACCGTATTTACTCTATAGTGAATCAGTAAAATATTATATATATATATATATATATAAATTGACACAAGAAAATACTAGAAATCAGTAATACTAGAAATTATTACTGTGAATCATAACTTTGGCAGTAGAATTTAGCTCAGGTGATAAAATTTCATGAATCAGTAACATCAGTTAAGATATCACATGGTTTTCTATAACAGCTAGTGCTGGATATGTACATAAAATTGAAAAAATTCTGGCACACCAGTAATTTCAATGGCCATCGGGTTTAGCTTTCAATACCACACAAAAGTTGGCACATGCCCAGTTGGATCTGGGCTTACTTGGCAAACAGAGATATGCAAATAACATGAATTTTATGTTTTAATAATTAAAGTCATTAATTGTTTTGTTCTTTTATATCATATTATACAGACACAGATGCCAGAAGACCTCAATTTATTTGTTTTTTAATAAACACTGTTTGAGGGCACTAAACTGGGTATCAATTGTAATTTGTTTTCTCTGATATGCATACAAGCTACATGTATGTAAGAATAATTTTGGCACTGAACAGCAAATCTAGTGCTAATATCCCGCCATACTATTGTATCCAGTCTGCCAAGATGGCTGCCTATTCAGATTGTTTCTATGGTAAATAACATCACGTCTTGCATACAAAGAATAAGACCTACCTGTGGGTTTGCTAATATTCTTTTGACTCCATTTACAAGATGCGTAAGAAATGTACCCCTTTCTGCATTATTAAACAAAGACCGCCTCACAGAAGCTATTTGCACTATACACGATATGGCCTGTAAAAAAAAAACAATTATGACAACATTTCTTATGAAACTTTGAATTATTAGTAAATATTGAAAAAATGAAAATGGCTAAAAAAGTATGGTGTCCTTGAAGGCTTCAAAAACAATATTCACAATTACTACTTAATAAATCTTCAGAATTTCTATTTTAATCCTTAGAGCACCAAATTTGTTTCCCGCTTAAATTGGGGTAAATTTGTTCACATTTTCTATAATTTTCACTGAGTACAATCTTAATTTTGGACCAAACAGACAAAATGTGACATTGCTTCTATCGGTAGATTGTGATAAAAAAAATTTGAATTTTTCACAACATTTCATAAATGAAACTATTTTGTGGACGGTGCCTAAAGTTGATTTTGGCGTTAAAGCATAGTTAAACACAACCAATTTTATGATACAGATTAGAATACACATAACAGAGCTTAGTAGCATAATTTTGAAACGACTGACACCAGTTAGAGTTTTACAAAATAGATTACACTTACCAAAGGTGAAAGCGTGTGTGGAAGAGTGTGATATAAATCAAAGAACAACTGCACATTGGTGAAGTCTAAAAAAGCTGTCAAAAAAACAAAAATAATTTAACTGTGATTTATTTTCAAATCTTCCTGTACTCAGTTTATAATTATCTATGTGTTAACAACAAATATTCTTGAAGTCAAATCATCAATATGATCACATGACCATTCCGAAAGGGACAAGGAGACCATTAACTTGATGAATATAACACACACCAGTTTATGATCCAAATTAATTTTTTGATAAAAATGCTGGATACTGGCTTCGGTAATAAAATACAAAAATTTAATTTTTGCACGAACTCTTCATTTTTAGTTATTAAAACAGTAATCTTATTTTTTATGTTCAGGAAATGAGTTCTTGTGTTTGTATGCGAGTATATTCTCAAACTAGACATGAGGTAACTCAACGCAGACAGAATCCTCTTCAAATCACAAGATGACCTTTGATTTGATTTACCTGATCTCCAGGCAGTGGGTATTTGTACTGTAATGATATCATCTGATGACTCGTCCGTTGACGTACCAATGAAATCAAACGTTAGACAATTATAGGCCAGTCTCAATAGTTGCGTCATCAATCCATGCTATAAGACGCAATGTACGATTAATCAAGGAAGACAAGGATTGGAGGGCTGTCTATTATGGCATTATAAGAGGACAATAATATGATGCTAGAGTAAGTACCAATCCATATAGGGCATAGTAACATTTCAATTATGTCATTTCACTCTACTTTGACACAGTATGTAGACATTACATATATTTTGCATTTCTCACAGAAAACTGAATCAGTGAAATAGAAATAAATTTGGTGTAAACAGTTTCATGGGGTTTAATCCTAGCCAAAACAACAAAAGTTGAACAATAAAAATATAGAAGTGAGAATAATATTTACCTGGCTTTCGTCTCCAAAGTCTAAATTCTTATTTTGTGCCTGTAATTAAAATTAACCATTCAGTGAGCTGATGATGTCCATGTCAAATTTATCAACGTAAAAGACTAGTGCCCGAACATGATTAGAAAAAAACGAATATAAATGAATTTTTACTGCAATAACTGAAATATTGAAATATCAATATAATTAGTGTCTCATACCTGCCTCAGTAAACTACAGGATAAAGTGAAAATTTCAAATAAAGAAGAATCTCGGAAGGAAGAAGCTACTTTCCTATGTTTGGTCAGTGGTCTTGTTGAATCAGCCTACAAAATAAAATAAGTCACAACACAAGTCTCAGTACTGTAAGATTACTGCAACAGTAGTATATGTGAAGATGTGCAAGTTTTGTGATAAGTATTTACTCAAGGTATATGCATTCAGTCAAGACACCTGAGTAATATGGCTCTTGAAAAAGGAAGCTAGTTTGGTTAAATCACATCTTAAAATAGAATTACATGCATTAGTGTCTTGTTATATTCTAATGTAAATTCATCCAAGCACACCTTCAACTAAAATGGCTG